ATGGAACGTAACTACATTTCAATTTTACTAAATTTTCTCACACAAATCGCAATTTTAGCTGTGGAATCTTGGGTTTTTCTAACTGAAAATGTCACTGATTTTCATGCAATCTCGTGAAAAAAATCAGAAGAATGTTTCTCAAAAATAGTTCGGGTGCATTCTTGTGAAAGATCGAATTGCTTGAGTCAATTTTACAGTCTAAGAATAGAGTTACGTTCCTTCATCTGGATAACGACGAATAGACCTTGCTGAAGCTCGCAAACTCATCATACTTTGAGAAGCTACTTCCCTTTCTGAGAAATATTTCCGTACTTCAAGCATTCTACAGGATCTTGTACCGTACCTTATTTTTGAATTTTGGCTTGAAATTTGGCTTGGTCGGTCACGATTGAAGTATATTCTTTGAGAGCAAGCGATTAAGATGACACTTATGAACCCTGTTAAGCAGAAAGGAACCAAGCCACATCTGCTAATGCCAAATTCAATCGGGCAATTTTATATTTTACATAAAAACTGTTTCGCAGATTTTCGTGCAAATTTCAGTGGGCTTTTCTGCACACAACGAAGCAAATTCCCTAAAATTTCCAGAGGAATTCGCAGCATGTAATTGCCCCGTTGAATTTGGCAATAGCTGATGTGGCCATAGGTTCCCTTCTGCTAAACGTGGTACATGTTTCTTCTTAAAAAAGGAACTGTAGCGGTCATTTTGAGAAACAGCCATTGATGCACGTGCTTTCTGAGTCTAAAGCTATTTATATCATACCGGAAACATTTATTGCTGCATGCACGTCTTATCGGGAGGTATTTATAAAGCTCAGGCACTTAAAAAACCCGTTAAAATCTCTAGTTTGCTGAAGGAACAAAACTTAAAAAACCAAGAAATGGCAACGATGGCCCAACGACTAACGAACAAGACGCAATAGAAGGCAATTTATGAAAACTTATGAATATTGTTCGTGCAATTTTGGAGATAATGTTTGCAATATCACCTTAAGTTCCTGAAAATTCCAAGGACAAATATCCATAACTTTCCTAAAAATAAAAAATTTACTGAAGGAAATTTGGCAACTCTCGAATGTTCATACGGCGCTCTCTCTTAGCATAACAGTATGAGTGAGTCTATAGCTATTTATATCGTACAGGAAACATGTATTGCTACATGTACGTCTTTTCGGGATGTATTTTTAAAGCTCAGGCACTTAAAAACCGCATTAAAATCTCTAGTTTGCTGAAGGAGCGAAACTTAAAAAACCAAGAAATGGCAACGATGGCGCAACGACTAATGATCAAGACGCAATAGAAGGCTACTAAGAGGCAGCGCCGCCAAATTTACCCCAATATCGCTCAAACTAAACGCTTGAAAATGGCGCTCGTGCACAAAGCGGCAAGACGAGGGAGAAATAACACTGAGTAATGAACCGTGTCCAGCGACGGCTAGTGAGCGTGGAGGACTTCAAATGAAATAAACCCAAGACGGAGCGGACTAAAAATACGGCTCCGTGCTGGAAAAACATGACACCTGTCAACAAAGATTAGGCTCTGAATAGTGGTAAATTAGGTTGGGAGTCGCGGGGGTCGACTGGAAGAAAGGATCCCTTATTTTGATAGAATCTTGAGAATTATTGCGGTGCCAAGTTACGCGCCCTCGCGGGTTATGTTAGAGTTCGCACGAGAGAAAATGGAGTATGTACTCTTTCAGTGGTGGGTCGTGAACCGGCGTTAGATTGAAGGAATACTTCACAATTGCGCCAAACAGCGTGGTCGGCGTCAACCGCATGTTAGCGCCTGCAAGACTGCATGAATACTTCTCGCACTGCACCAAACGCAATATTATACACGCTGAGTTATTTGCGACAATGGACCATTAGACAAGGTACGAATTTCAGCATTCTGATGCATGTTTCTGAACCAAGATTTCACGTAGAAGACGATGCGCACAACGAAAATTACCGAAATCAACTCCTTTCGAGGATATATAATGATTCTTGATGCTTAAATTCAAACCACCCGCTCATGAAAACTCAATGCTCTACGTGACTCACATCGCGCGCTAAACGTTATCATGACAGTCACTGCGATATAAAAATCTGGCAACCTCAATCTTGACGCTGTGGCTCAGCTATAGCAAATTGCTTATAGTTTGAGCAACATATGGTGGGAAATGAACATTGCTCGATTGAGAAGCTTGCTGAAACCATTGTAGTACGCGATTTAACTCACGTAGAGCTTTGAGTTTCTTGTGAGCGGGCAGTTCAAATTCCTCGTAACCAATGTGAAATAAAAACGTTAATATCTTCGTCAGGAGTTGGTTTCAGTAATTTTTGTTGTGCAAATCGTGTTTTACGTGAAATTTTGGTTAAGAAACTTGTATCAAAATGCTTAAATTCGTACCTTGTCTAGTGGTCCATTGCGCCAAACAGCGTGGTCGGCGTCAACCGCATGTTAGCGCCTACAAGACTGTATGAATACTTCTCGCACTGCACCAAACGCAATACGAGGGTTATTTGCGATAACTATTCGACCACGGGATAGGCACATTGTCGCTAACTGGATCGACGGCGCATCACACTGTGAAGATGACTCGACACTCGACCGCGCTATTGTTTTATCGCTAAATCGCCGCAAAACTTGGACTACGAGGCATTTCGGTTCCTGCCCGGTTTTTACCACAATTAAAGGGCAGTAAAAATCTTAATGGCAACGATTCAGCAATTTGGATGATGTTTAAATGATGCAGCGATTCTGAAACTTGATTCGCGTAAAATTTGTTTTGGTTCAATGAAAAGGAAACAGAACGAACGGAAATATCGCGTCGAAATTTTTTGTGATTTTATTTCATATCGTTCCGGAAATTTCTCGGAAACTTTAAAAAAAACCATGTTTAACTTTTTTCAAAAATCTGATTAAAAATAAAACTTGAGTAGAGATTTGAATCATTGCAATCGGAGAAACGAACACCTTTTTTCCGCGTGCAGGTGTCGATATTTGATTTCATTCACTGCAGGCGTATGTATACCTATCTATTCAACGATAGGTGTAGGTATATTGCCGCTAGCCGGATGGAACTAAAGCCACGGATAGTTATGGCAATCTAAGTGAATTCTAAGTAGTATGCGATTCTAATTTAGGACACGTTGTCTCATTTGCTCTCACATGACCCTAGGGGCAATTGGAGACCCTTTACTCTTATTTAGTGCCAAAAAGAGTAGTAAAGATCACTTTTTCGAAGTTTAGTTTTTTATTCTTTTTTTTCAAACTTTAACCTAGTTTATACATCTTTAATTCATATCACACCATCATACGATTTATAATACTAATCTACTTTCAACTACTTACTACA